AGAAAGAAGACAACGTTAAGAAAATCAACAAATCGTAAAATTTTGTCTTAGTACTGCGATGACCCAAGCAGCATTCTGTGGGCATTTCTCCCCAAAAGCCTTCATTGGAGAAAGCTAGCCAATGTACACACTCAGTAATGAAGGTCATGTTTTTACACTGCTGTTGCTTACTCTCATCTTTTGTTTAACATGCTTGTTCATTCACTGTGCTTTAGTAGTGTCAGTAAATAAAATGTTTCAAATTTTCCTAGAGATTGACTTAACTTAAAAAATTATAGTCCTTCACAATGAAACTATAAATAATACCCGACTTCATGACAAATGTGGATTATTCTCTGTACAGACTGTTTTGTCATTTATACTCAAATATAATATGTAGTCTATTTCAGCATATGAATTATCTGAGTAACAGTCAATTTTGAAAAAATCTAAGATACTACTTTTTAACTGGACTTCAATTATACTAATTATACTAATACATTTAAATTATACTAATACATTCAAAGAACTAATAAATAGCTTTTAATGGTGCTAATGTCATATAAATATGACATGAAACAATAAAATTTTTATAAGATTGAATATATAGTATCTGATTATCCCTAGATACTATAAAGAATCTAACAAATGCTTAATGAACTTGCATTTATAACACTAGCTAACAAAAGAGGCAAAGGTCCTGAGGCAGTCTTCCCTAACTGAGTTCTTGGCCTATAAAAATCTGGTAGGAGTTTCATAGGATTTTGGCTACAATTGTGTGTTGTTATGTGGCTCTGGACTGTTAAAGGGATCCAAGCCCATGTTGTCAGTTTGTTTTCTTGAACACTTTTAATAGTTTTATTTTATTTTTGATTTTTTTTTATTTTTCATGAGTTTCAGATTGAACTTTGCCCCAGAGTATAACGTGGAAGTCAACTTTGGCATTTGCCAGTATTAGACTTTTCCTTTCCAGGATAGATCAGCTCAAGTGAAGTGGCATAGACAGTGAGTCTCCCTTGGGTTAATGAACTCTTTTATAATATTATAAACTTTATTTCTTATTTCTGACAAATAGTAATTGTAGCATATTTATTGATCACCATGCTCTTAGCCTTTTCTAGTTATGATTTTTCATAGGAATTTTATTCCCTGTAGTCTAACATTAGATGTAAGCATGGCCCTTGTAAGTTGACTACTTTCATTTCAATTTCACTTGTATAATGTGTGTTTCAATGTTCAGAGCACCCTTAGACATTGTCTTAATTGATTCTGACAATAGCCCTATGAAATAGTTAAAGCAAGTGGTGTTATTTTCATTTTACAGAGTCTTAGAGAGTTTAAATGACTTGCCCAAGATAACACAGCCAGCGAGCATGAGAAGGGGATCAAGAACCAGTTTGTTTCAGCTCACAGTCCAATATTCTTTCTTGAAGCTAAATGGCACTGTTTGTTCATGTGACTACAAACTTGGTTCTTTATTCATGCTAAAGTTGTAACAACTTTACTTGAAAGCTGTAGAATCTAATGAATTTATTTCATGTCCAATGTAGTAAACACAGCTTCTGTATTCAGGGTCAGATTGTTGATAGTATTCAGCCAGAAAACCAGCATGTATAACTTGGATTCTGAGTTTTGAAATTTCTCACCTAGCGGAGCATTTGTCCCTATTCCAACATTAATCTTCAATTCCAGGCAAATATGCATGACCCCTTAGTACTTGGCATTCACCTCATTAGGTGGCACAACTGTCTGCTGCTTGGCAGTGTATGCAGAAGTGAGGTCCAGAAATCATTTAGTGAGAGCATTACTTACATAAAGACTGAAAGCCACTTAGTTCTGTGTAAATGCTGGTGCAACATTTGACCTCTCTGTGTTTTGCTTCAACTAGTTCCACCAGCTGCCTCTCTGTATCTGCTTAACTTACCATCATTCACCTTTTAAGGAGTCGATTGATTCTATTTGCCTGAAATTTGGTATCTGCGTCGTGACTGAGGTCATAGCATTTTCACGAATGAGCTAGGGTTTTAAAAGTGGAGTCCTTGAACACAGTCATTGGTAGGCAGTGTTTACTTTTTTGTATGATAAATGTTTAAAAATTTAAAATTTATTTTTAGGTTAACAATCCTATTTGTTAGATAACAATATATTTAAATTTGTCTTTGCCTTTCTCTAGTTTCTGATTTGACTAGTTAAATAATAACATTGTTTTTTCTTGACTTTGCTTAAAGTTATCATCGGGTTGTTCCTTTCCCACAAGAACACATACTTGCTTTATCCCAGCCACAAGACAATAGAATTCCCTAGTGTTGCTTTCCTCTGTGTGCCTTTTTCTGTTAGCTTAAATCTTGATCTGACCACTAGCTTGTATTCACACCATTCCCTTGACTCCTAACTCAAAAGTATTTATTGTCCAAGTAAAACATTCATGGTTAGTCATATCAAGCTAGTTTGTCTTTTCTTCTTTGAAATTCAAGCTTACCTAAATTTGATCAGCCTTAAGAAATCTGAGTAATGAGCTTATAGCTTTTTCAAAAGAAGCCTTCCCTATCAAAAAGACTTATAATGTCTCATTTCAGGATAGGGTCTAGTTATTTTTTCTAAAATGGAAACTGAACCCCATTTTTAATATTATTTCAAAACTTGAAACTTATTCTAAAACTACGGTGGGAATTTTTCTTGGCTAAAACTTTTCTTTAAAATCCTTTAACAGTCACAGATAATTGTTACTAAATTGTATTTTAAAAAACAAAAATAGAGAAATTATAGAGGAGTTTTTATTTTATTTGTGTTAGAGATACTTTTGAAAACTAAATTTAGTAACCTGTTGTTTTTTTTCACTGTGTGGAATGCTGTCCCCTTCCTTTCCTTTATGATGGTGTGTGGCTTGATTGTGATGGCACGTGGATTGTTGTGATGGCGCGTGGATTGTTGTGATGGCGCGTGGATTGTTGTGATGGCGCGTGGCTTGATTGATGGTGTGTGGATTGTTGTGATGGCTGTGGATTGATTGTGATGGCGCGTTGATTGTTGTGATGGCGCGTGGATTGTTGTGATGGCACGTGGCTTGATTGTGATGGCGCGTGGATTGTTGTGATGGCGCGTGGATTGATTGTGATGGAGCGTGGATTGATTGTGATGGCACGTGGCTTGATTGTGATGGCGCGTGGCTTGATTGTGATGGCGCGTGGATTGTTGTGATGGTGTGTGGATTGTGATGGCGCGTGGATTGTGATGGCGCGTGGATTGATTGATGGTGCATGGATTGTTGTGATGGCGCGTGGATTGTGATGGCGCGTGGATTGTGATGGAGCATGGATTGTTGTGATGGTGCGTGGATTGTGATGGTGCGTGGATTGTTGTGATGGCGCGTGGATTGTTGTGATGGCTGTCTCTGTGTTGACTTTCTCAGCGGGGGGCGAGGGAGTGTTTTTTCCCCTTTCGGGAAGCAGGAGGTGGAGCTAGAAGGGAGAGAAACAAATTATTTTCATTTAATCTGTTTTTTCCTTAGTTTATTTAACTGACTTACACTATGGAAAATTTATATTTTGACTTTAGGTAATTGTGATTTTCCCAAAGTATTTTTGCTTGCATTTTAGTTTGCCACTCATATTCTATCCTTACCTTTCTTTTCTATGTATCCTCAACCCCATCGTTATGGTAGTTTGAGAGAATCTGGACTGCTGCTTTGCTTGAACTGACACCCAGTGGAAGCTATCCCCAAGCACACCACTGCCTCACACTGGGTAGAGTTTGAAGTGCACAAAACATCCTATGCTCATTTAACAAAAATTTATCCCTTGATGTTCTTTCCTCTTATTTATTTTACAGTGCTTTATTAGTCTACCACTAATTAGCAACAAAGTTAGTAATTAGTTCATGTGTAACTTTCTAAGCCTATATCCTTATTTGTCTATGGTAAGAGAAACAGAGATAAAATTTCTAAATACCCACCTAAGCTGGAAAGAGGTGAGGAGAATTTAGTAGAATCAACCTTTCTATTTTTTGGTAATATAGCTTAACATCAGATGGTTTGGTAAAACCAGCTTATACACACACACATACATACACACACACATACATACACACACACACACACACACACACTTTTTTACACAGAATTATTGCTAAGTGTCATCTTTTCCAAGTTTACTCCCTAACTTCTTGGGATGCTTTATAAAAATTAGTTTATATTAAAATATTCTTTATTTTAAATGCAACAACAAAATAATGAAATCGATCAGGTGCCAAACAGTATCATTCTCGTTCATTTGTATCAATCCGTGTGTTTTATAATCCTTTGGCCATACTAACAGGGAAAAAGGAACTGTTTGGCAATACCAAAGACTATGGTCTTTGTCATACAGTTTTAGAGAGCTAAAAATAATTGGCTTTAAAATATTTGGTTGGAAAATGAGAATATTAAAAAAATTCTAAAAAAAAAAAATAAGGTAGGCAGTAGAACTACTGGATATTAAAACATAAAGTAACAAAATTGAAGCAGTGTAGTAAAGGCCCAAGATTAGATGTGTAGATCATTGAAGAACAGAAGGAAATGCTGTTACTTACATAAATTTGACATACTTTAAAGGAGTCACTGTTAAAAGTGGGTAAGGGAATGATTATTTAATAAGTGGGGTTGGAATAACCAGCTAGCAATTTTGAGAAAAAAAGCATTTAGATCTTCATGTATACCAGATACAACAAAAAATAAATTTTAAACAAATTTGAGTTTTAAATATGGACAATTACATCACTGAAAATCTGGAACATAAGACTGAATATAATTTTTCTAGAGTGTCTAAGCAATTAGAAAGCTGGAAAAAGAAGATAGCAAAGATCAGACTGGGTTCGTTTTGTTGTGGCTGTGCCTCCGTCAGCACTGCAGAAAGGCGTGTCTGTTCCATGTTCACAACCTAAGAATTAGTCTGCTTTTTTCTTCATAACAGCTGGAAACCTTTTTCTTTCTAAATTAGCTAATAGAACATAGAATGCAATTCTTTATCTAAAATTTTATTCTATAGGTGCATCGAAAATTATACAGGAGCTCGTTGTGAAGAGGTTTTTCTCCCAAGCTCCAGCATCCAAACTAAAGGCAACCTGTTCGCAGCTTCCGTGGTGTTGGTTGTCTTTCTGGTAACACTTATCATTGGAGCCCTGTACTTCCTTTGCAGGTAACAATGATAGAAGCATCCTTTGAAAAGAAAAAATTAGTGCATAAAGTAGTTGTTCCACCAAATGCTTAATATGCCCTTTAGTTCTAGATATTTTTTCCAGATACTGTTTTATGTTTAGAGTTATCTCTCAAATATAGTTTTTGTTATTAAATTAACATCATTTTTGAAAGGATCTTAATAAGCAGTCTTAATTTGATTTTTGTTACTATCATCATTATTTACTTTGACTTCTCTAAAATACTAACGTAGACCCAACTCACTACGGTAATCATGTCAAAAACACCTAAATTTGGGGGCTAGGTGTATTTAAAAGTAAATTTTGAATACAAAAGAAAAAAAACAGGAATGCAATACTGTAAATTGTCAAGTTTAAGACCATATGGTTAATGTCTAGGGCCAACTATTTAGTGCCTACCGTGTGTTTGGCATTGTGCTAAAAAATACAATAATGAACAAGATAGACATGTGTTCCCTAACTTCATAGAGATTCAAATCAATTTGGAGAGAGAGACAAATAAGCAGGCAATTAATTTGGGGAGACTGGTAACTCAGAAAAGAAAAAATGACTTGCATGAAGCAACACTATACAATTAAGATTACTTTCATTCATTAGTTTTTATCTTCAATTTTTTAAAAAATTTTGTGAAAATATTTAATAAATGAATGTGTGGAGAAAGAAAGATCTCTGGTGTCTGCTCCTCTTCTTATGAGGACACCAGTCCTGTTACATTATGGCCCCACCCTGTGACCACATTTTACCTTAATTACCTTCTCTAAAAGGTCTTCCTATCTTCAAATGTAGGCACATTGGAGGTTAGGGCTTCAACATAAGAATTTCGGGGGAACACAATTCAGTTCATAACAGACAGTATGTTTTAGTGTTTAAGTCAGTGTTCTCCAAAGAAACAGAACCAACACGATGTGTGTGTGTGTGTGTGTGTGTGTGTGTGTGTGTGTGTGTAGAGAGAGAGAGAGAGAAGGAGAAAGAAAAGAGATATTCATTTTGAGGAATTGGCTCAAGCAATCCCAAGGCTGTCAAGGAGGGTGGCAAGTCCAGAATCTGCAGGGTGGGCCAGCAGGCTGTAGATCCAGGCAAGAGCTGGTGTTGCAGTTCAAGTCCAAGGGCAGTCTGCGGCAGAATTCACTCAAGGGAGGTCAGTCTTTAGCTATTAAAGCCTTCAGCTGATTGGATGAGGCTTGCCCTTATTGTGGAGGGCAATCTGCTTTACTCAAAGTCCACCGATCTAAATATTAATCTCATCCAAAACACACCTTCACAGAAACATCAATAATAATGTTTGGCCAAACATCTGGGCACCATGGCCCAGCCAAGCTTGCAAATAAAATGAACCATTACGTAATGAAAAAGAAAATTATGGGCCAATCTTATTCATTAATCTAGATGTAAAAGATTAAAGATTAGCCAACCAAATCTAGCAATGTATTAAAAAAACAAATTGGTATTTGGAACTCACGAGCAAAACTCTGTGATGATCTTAGATTTTTTCCAGGAATGAAAAGTTATTGTAACACTAAAATATTAACTAATATATTTCATTTTATTTATAGATTAAAGGAGAAAAATCTTTTAACCTTCTCAATAAAGATACTTACCAAACTAGGAAGAAAAAAAAGTATGCTGACAAAAAGCCTACAGCAAGCAGCAAATGTGCATGGTTGGCAGACAGCAGAGATCGTACAGCAGAGCAGTGGGGAAATAATGGGCTTTTCCATAAATGGTGTTGGCACTAATGTGTATCCATATAGAAGAAAGTAAAATTGTATCTTTGCTTCAAAACTCAAAATCCAGATCAGGTAGATTAAAGACCTAAATGTGAAAGCTTGCAGAAGAACATTTAAAGAATGTCTTTATGCTATTGGGGGTAGGGATAGATTTTTGAAACAAGGATTAAGAGGCACAGATCACAAAAGAAATGGCTGATAAATTTGTATTAAAATTGAAAACTTCTAGTTATCAAAAGACACCATTAAAAAAAGAAAAAAGCCAAGCTACAAACTGGAGGTAGATGTTTGCAACACATGAAAATAGACTTATGAATATATATGTCTCGAGTATATCAACTCCTATACATCATTAAGAAAAAGGTAGACATATATGGGAAAAATAATTTATAGAAGAGGAAAGCTCCAGCAAATATATATATATGAAAAGACACTCAACCTTATTAGTCAGAGAAATGCAAATTAAACCTATTATGAGATAACATTATCTCACTCATGAGATTGGGAAAAACTTTTTTAAAAAAATCAACCAGACAATATAAAATATTATGAGACTTTAGAATCTGAAAGAGTTTTGACCACTTTTGAATCAGTTTGCAAATACCTTGTGAAGCTGAACAAGTACATGCTCTACACACCAGTAATTTCACTTCTGGGTATAAACCTTACAGAAACTCTCACAAATGTGTACCAATTTATAGTAGCACTGGTCATAATAACAAACAATTAGAAATTACCCAAGTACCTATTAAACAGTAAAACAGATGAATAAGTTATGGCATGTTCATACCAAAGAATAACATATAAGAGCAGAAATGAACCGCAGCTACACACATCAACCTGGATGAATCTTAGAATCGTAATTTTGAGTGAAAGAAGCAAGTCACAGAAGAAAACATAATAGCACAATTCGATTCATATAAAGTCTAAAACTAGGCAAAACTAAATAATGTATCGTTTAGGGTCGTATATAAGTGGTAGAAAGTATAAAGAAAAGAAAGACACTGATCAGCACAGAATGCAGGATAGCAGTTACTTCTGGTGGGAAGAAGAGGGAAGCAATTAGAGAAGGCACATTTCTGGGAAATGTTAATGGCCTATTTCTAATCTTGTGCTGGGTGCATAGCTGTTTATTGCTGATTTTTAAACTGTACACATTTATCCACTCTTTGTATGTATGCTTTAACATTTTCATTTTAAGATATTTGAAAAATGGATATAAATTAATGAGAAAAATAGCATCCTTAACATGCTTACAAAAATAACATCCTTGAATAATTTTCAGATAAGGTTGCAATGTGTTTGAATATACATTTTTCATTTTTTGAAGAACAACCAAAGCAGATATATGAGCAGAGGTATGTCATAGTGTCAAGAGCAGAATTACTTTGAAAAATAACATAAGCAGCTATTGCTTATGGAATCTAGACGTAAGATTTAGGTTGTTATATACGGACCATGTAAAATGTATTTGTCTCTTGAAAATGTGGTGCTTTCAAGAATGAAACTGTTTATTGTAATAGTTTTGGGTCCATTCATGGTTGAAATTGCTTTGAACTGAGGGCCTTTTGAACATTAATTACTAATGGCATCTTTAAATAAAGTTCAGAATGGTACCCCACTAATGCTAAAATCTGGGGTAGAATCAATAGTTTCAGGAGCAACTGTACATTCTAAAATCTTTAGTTTTTTTAAAAATATGTGATGATCACATAAATTATAACTTGTATTAATTGATCAGATGACCCAAAAAACTGATGGACTAAAACCTTAAGAATGTCCAAAATGATGTTTTAAAATGCCATTAATAGAATAGTTGACTAAAGCCACTCCATGTCACATAGGGTCCCAACTAAAAATGGAAATTAACCGCTTCAGAAAGAGCACTTGACATATAAGGGGATCTTAAGTAAATAAATAAAGCACAAAAAAATTACAGAGACACAACAGCTCTGCTGTCTTAAAGGAGAAAGACTAGGTGGTATCATCAGCATCTGAAGTCCCCACAGATGACCCACCTGCACTGATGGACTTGTTACATAATGGGACGCAGTTTTAAAGCATCCCTGGCAATTTCAGGTAATTGTGGAAAGAAAACGAACCTCCAAATATTCAAGTTCAAACTTTCTTTCTAGGTCTTCTGACATACTTTCCTATTACCCATTTTTCTATTTTTGTGTTTCTCTTATTTGTTGTCAGGAAGGGCCACCTTCAGAGAGCCAGTTCTGTCCAGTATGATGTCAACCTGGTAGAGACAAGCCATACCAGTGCCTACCACGGTGAGTAAATTCACAAAGAAATGCTCACCTTACAGCCCGAGATGAGACTGTTGTAACCCACAGGAATTTAGGTTTGGATCTCTCCTCAACTCTTCATATCACAAACAGAAGAAGTAGGTTTACATATGTGAATAAGATAAGAGAGATGTATAGGTAGGTGTGCATATTTAAAAAATCACAATGGAGAAACCATCTCGGTTCTTAATTATTTTCCATAGGTCATGGAGAACACTGAAGAAACGTCAAAGTGAACCGAATCACTGCTTTTATTTTACAAAGGCAGAAAATGAAACATAAGGTAAAAGAAATTAAAAATTTAACCCTTCATTTCCTAAATAAGACACTGTGTAAGTTGTCATATCACAAAACACAGTCTGCTCTGCTGCAGGGCGTATGTGCTTCTGTGATGCACGTCAGCTCACATGCAATTGGAAAATAGGGGAATGATATCAGTATAATGTGGAAGTCACGTTGGTTCAAAATGATTTTGCCCAGCAAGCTAATGTATTGAAGCAATCGGGGACAACTGTTCTTACAACTAGAGAGAAGGAATACATGACGATTTTATGAAAAAGATGATAAAAATCCTTTTAGTGCAAGAAGTGGCTGGTTTAGTGGATTCATAAACCACCTCACTTTTTGCTGTTAAGGTATCTAGAAGCTGCAAGTGCAGAGGAAAAGCTGTGAAGACATTTCACCTGGCAATCCGAAAAAATGCACTGATTGATGAAGGATACCTCTATATCATATTTTTAATATTGACAAAAATGGTTTCTATTAGAAGGGATTAATTTCAAGGATCTGTATCTCACAGGAAGAAACACAAATCTGAAAGTTTAAGACTGCAAAAGATGGACTAATTCTCAGTGCAGATGCCTGTGGAAATTTTGGATTTTTGCTGTTACTACACAGCTTACAAAGTTCCAAACCTATTTTCTTCATAAGGCCTATAATTTCTAGTGCATGGTTTTGTAGAATGGGCAATTTTAATCTTTTTAGGGGCAAATTAAGAATTGGTTAGGTCAGGCCGGGCGCGGTGGCTCATGCCTGTAATCCTAGCTCTCTGGGAGGCCGAGGCAAGCGGATCGTTTGAGCTCAGGAGTTCGACACCAGCCTGAGCAAGAGCGAGACCCCGTCTCTACTAAAAATAGAAAGAAATTAATCGGACAACTAAAAATATATAGAAAAAATTAGCCGGGCATGGTGGCGTGTGCCTGTAGTCCCAGCTACCCGGGAGGCTGAGGCAGGAGGATCGCTTGAGCCCAGGAGTTTTAGGTTGCTGTGAGCTAGGATGACGCCACGGCACTCTAGCCCAGGCAACACAGTGAGACTCTGTCTCAAAAAAAAAAAAAAAAATAGAATTGGTTAGGTCAGAACAACTTAATTTCTCCATTTTTTTCCCACCTAAGTTACATGGGAAAAAAAGAAGAAGAAAAGGAAAAAAGCAATAGTGACTTTAAGGAAGTATGGAAACAAAGTCTTGGAGCAGTGTGGAAGAGTGGAAAGGTCTGGGTAAATGGTTCAGGCAGAAGAGCAAGCACGGGCTGAATTTAACAGCCCATCTCCAACCCATGTCCTCAAGACTGGCGTGCAAATCGGCTTTTCTGCACAGCCTAGTCCAGTGCAGGCATCGTGAATTGAATCTGTCACTAGTGTCACTGATTCGTTCATTCTCCCGTCACTCACTTATTCAACAAATACATGTGAGCATGAGACACTGAGATAGAGTACATAAAATGAAAACTATTTTTAATTAATTTTAAATAATTCATTTTAATTATTTAAAATTAAAATTAATTTTAATTAATACTTTATTCTTCAAAAAGTTTTAGATTTACAGAAAAACTGAGCAGCTAGTACTGAGTTCCCATATGCTCCCCTCCCCCATCCAGTTCCTCTATTAAACATCTTACACTAGTGCAATATATTTGTTTAATTAATGAACCAATACTGACACATCCTTATTTGCTAAAGTCTGTAGCTTACACTAAGGTCCTCTTTTTGTCATACAGTTTTGTGGGTTTTGACATCTCCTGTAATCCTAGTACTTACTACTCCCTCTCTCCCACTGAACTTCTGGCAAACACTAATGTCCTTACTGTCTCTCCAACTTTGCTTTTTCCAGAATATCATATACTTGGAATCATACAGTACACAGCCTTTCAGACTGGCTTCTTTCACTTTGTGATACACATTTAAGATTCTTCTATGTCTTGTGGCTTGATAGCTCTTTTTAAAAAATAGCTAGGCCATATGTTTTTCTTTTTAGTGGTCTAAAAATTTTATTGTGGTAAAATATACATAGGATTTAAATTTTAACCATTTTGAAGTATATGGTTAGTGGCATTAAGTACATTCACACTGCATAGCAAGCATCCCCACAGTGCATCTCCAGAACTTTCCATGACCTCACACTAAATTTCTGTGCCCCTTAAACAATAAATCCCCATTCACTCCTGCCCCCGAGCCCTGACAGAAAGTAACCGTTGTCCTACTCTGTCTCTGTAAATTTCACTGTTCTGGGTGCCTCATATGAATGGAATCACAGTGTGTGTCCTCTTGTGATGTATTTCAGTTAACGTGATATCTTAAAGGTTCGTCCATGATGTAGGATGTATCAGAATTCCATTCCTTTTTATGGCAGAGTAATATTCCCTTGTTAAAGATATACTACATTGTCCGTCCATTCATCTGTTGATGGATATTTGGGTTGTTTCCAACTTTGAACTACTGTGAATCATCCTGCTGTGAACACTGGTATACAAATCTGCCCTCAAGCCCCTACTTTGAGTTATTTTGTGTATATGCCCAGCACTGGAATTGCTGACCAAATGGTAATTCTATACTTAATTTGAAAACTGCCATACCGTTTTCCACAGCATCTGCACCACTTTATGTTTCCACCAGAATGGACAGGAGTGTCCATTTCTTCACTTCCTTGCCAACACTTACTTTCTGTTTTTGCCTCTTTGTTTAATAATAGCCACCCTAATAGGTGTGAAGTGGTATCTCACTGTGGCCTTGATGTGCATTTCCCTGTTGTTCATTGAGCATCTTTTCATCACCTTCTCATGTCTCGTTGTCCATCTGTATGTCTTCTTTAGAGACCTGTCTATTCAAGTCCTTTGCCACTTTTTAATCAGGTTTTTTGGTTGTTGCGTTTTAAATGTTTTGTATGTATTCTGGATATTAAATCCTTATCATATATATGAATTGCAAATATTTTCTCCCATTCTGCGGATTGCCTTTTTACTCTGTTGATAGTGTCCTTTGATGCACAAGATTTTAAAATTTTGATGAAGTCTAGTTTGTCTCTTTTTTCCTTTTTTTTTACCTGTGAATTTGGTTTCAAATCCAAGAAAGCATTGCCACATCCAACATCCTGTAGCTTTCCCTATTTTCTTCTGAGAGTTTCATAGTTTTTGCTCTTACGTTCAGGTCGTTGATCCAGTTTGAGTTCATGTTCGCATGCCTGGTAAGGCTCCCACTTCATCCTTCAGCCCGTGGCTACCCAGTTTCCCACCACCATTTGCTGAAAAAACTGTCCTTTTCCCATCGAATGGTCTTGGCATCTTTCTCAAAAATCATTTAACTACATATGAGAGGGTTTATTTCTAGGCTCTTTGTTCTATTCCATTGGTCTGTATGTCTGATTTTATGTCAGAATCACACTTTTTTATTACAGTTTTATACTTTTTTATTATAGCTTTGTAATAAGTTTTGAAATCAGCAAGTGTGGGTCCTCTAGCTTTTTAATTCTTTTTTAAGATCAATTTGACTATCTGGGGGGGTCCTTTGAGATTCCATATAAACTTTAGGATGGGTTTTTCTATTTCTGCCAAAAAAAAAAAAAAGTCATTGGGATTTCGATAGGGTTGCATTGAATCTGTAAATCCCTTTGGGTAGTACTGGTATCTTAACAATATTCAATCTTCCAGTCCATGCACACGGGATGTGTTTCCATTTATTTATGTTATCTTTAATTTCTTTCGGTGATGTTTTATAGTTTTCATTGCATAAGTCATTCACCTCCTTTTGTTAATTCCTAGGTATTTTATTCTTTTTGACGCTACTGTAAATGAAATTGTTCTTGTAATTTTCCTTTCAGATTGTTCATTGTTAGTGTATAGAATGCAACTGATTTTTGTGTGCTGACTTTGTATACCGTTACTTTGCCAAACTCATGTATTAGCTCTTTTTTGTGTGTGTGAAATCTTTAGCACTTTCTACCTATAAGATCATATCATCTGCGAATGGAGATACTTTTACTTCAAACTTTCCAACTTGGATGCCTTTCATTTCTTTTCCTTGACCAACTGCTCAGGCTAGAACTTCCAGTATTACGTTGAATAGAAGTGGTGAAAGTGGGTGTCCTTGTCTTGACCTTAGAGGACAAGTTTTCAGTCTTTCCCCATTGAGTATGATGTCCACTGTGGGATTTTCATATATGGCTTTTACTATGTTGACATAGTTTCTTTCTATTCATTTGTTGTTTTTAATCACAAGAGGATGCTGAATTCTGTCAAATGCTTTTCCTGTATCAATTGAGATGATCATGTGGTTTTTCCGCTTCATTCTCCTAATGTGGTGCATTGATTGGTTTTTGTATGTTTAACAATCCATGCAGTCCAGGAATTAATTCCACTTGGTCATGGTAAAATCCTTCGAATATGCTGCTGAATGCAATTTGCTAGTATTTTGTGAGGATTGTTCAGTCAATATTTATGAGAAATATTGGTCTGAAGTTTTTTTTTCTTGTAGTATCTTTGTCTGGCTTTGGTATCCAGGTGATGCTGGCCTCTTACAATGAGTTAGGCAGTGTTCCTCCTCTTCAATTTTTGGAAAACGTTTGAGAAAGATTGGTCTTATTTCTTCTTTAATTGCATGGTAGAATTCACAAGTGAAGCCATCAGGTCCAAGGCTTTTCTTTTTCAGGAGAATTTTGATTACTAATTCAATCTCCTTACTAGTTACAGGTCTATTCAGGTTTTTCCATTTCTTTGTGGTT